GATTGGTTTGAATTCATCAAATGACATCGACTTATCAGATTTGTCGTATGCGAGTTGAACAGTTGCATCATAAGGAATCGAGACATCAATTGGCTCCTGTGCTGCTGCCTCTTCAGCCTTGGATTCTTCTACTTGTTGGATATACTGTTCTTTGGAAACCGTCGAAGATCGGTCCGCGTGATCCATGATGACCTTTAACGTGAGCATAAGGTCTTCCTCTTTTGAGGCAGCAGCGACCCCCATAGAAAGGGAGGTGCTTGTCTGCGTTCTAGCAACATTGAGGGTTGGCGCAAATGCGCCGACCGAAGTCGTTAGAGCAGTCCAGATGGCAGCACTCGTCAAGAATTTCATCGCGAATGTTTATTAGTAACGCAGGGAGTTAGAATTATGAGTTTACAGGCGCACTGCTGTTTTCAAAACTACTAGGATACGTTCGTTGCCAGAAAAAAATCGTTGCCATGAATTCGTTGACACTACAGTACGTACGAGTACGAACGAGTATTGTACGACTACGCTACGAGTAGCTTATCACAAAATCCTGAAGTAGTGTACGACTCGTACGCCGTACTCTTTATTGTACCCATCCCAAATGGACAAAAAAAAGGTGTCCAGATGTTGCTTTTTGAAAATTGAAAACGTGTTTGTTGCTTGCTTACGTACGTACTTTCTACGACTTGTTGAAGTTAGAGGGGCTGGGACACTCCAAAACAGGGGAATAGGGTCGAGTCGGTCGAATATTTAGTAGTGTTTGGGTGGTCTACGCTACCGTACCGTACGTACCGATGCAAGGCCTAACGTGTTTTCTGGGGTCCTCCCTCCGGAATCCATTGACACGCGCGCGCGCAAGAAGATCCCCCTTTAAAATCCATAATTTGGGGGCTAGATTTCATGGCATATTTTTCACATAAAATAACCGTGGGTTCCAAATTTCCAAGGTCAAACCAAAATTGGGTGATTCCCATGAACATAAAATTTACATCATGCTTAAATATTTGATGCATTTGGGCATGAACAATGAATAGTATGCAAATACTCAAATTAGTAACTCTAGAATTAAGGGAAAATAAATCTATCTTTTTTGGAATGGAAAATCTTGATTCAACAAATTATCAGCACCAGAATACAGAACCAAAGCATGGTGGGGAACACCACCAGCACATGATGGTGCCATCAGCAGCAGCAGCAGCAGCACCACCACCACCACCACCACCACCACCAATTTCGGTTTGAAACAGGTGCTCCATAAGTGAAATTCTTCAGCCAAAGTAGTAGTTGATATGGAAAAACTAAGGCCCAGCATCTATACAGCATTGTTTAAATTTAATTTGCAAAAACAAAGAAGGGTCAACCCCCTTTCTTAACAGATGATCTTGTTGGTCTCAAATCCACAAGAAGTAGTAAGAAAAGGGAAAAGCACATCAAAGAAAGCCAGCAGTAGTAACAAAGAGAGGAATCTACTAGTCATGGGGTGGGCTGTGAAAGGGTCTCACTTGCATGATCATATTGTAAAGAAGTGTACAACTGGAGATGCGTTTTTTCTTGTCAAGCATGTATCATGATGCACATGATAACATTTTTTATGCATAATTGGGTCATTCCCACCAGAATACCAGAGGCCCACCAGAATTTTGGTCACAATCTATGATTTTGTTGGGTAACAAAATACCCAGATAGTGCTGGAAGTCAACCCCCTCTCAACCTTGACCATCTAGATTTTTTGTTCTGGTAAATATTATGGGCAACGCGCCTGTTGTCATGCCTCATATGGCTGATAAAATTTCATCCCCGTTAACCCACCAGAAGGCCAAATCATAGTAGGTCTAGGTACTGGTTATGGTGGCCTTTGAAATTACTAGTAGTACTGTTCAATGCAGACAATATTCAAGCAGCTCAAAACAAAACAACTCTGCAGGTAAAATTGTATTTAAGTGAGCTGGAAGATTTTCTTTGCATTCTACTGATCCAATTGAATAGTGTGCTTTTTGTTATTTTGATTCGTGTCAGGACACAAGCAGTAAGGTCAGATAGCCATTCGAAGAGAGCTTTTCTTCTCATCTCAACTAAGTATAAAAAATGGGGCAAGACTTAAAAGGAAAAGTTCTCAAATACGGCCATCGTTTCAGTTTTGCTCAGGACAGAAGGCATCATTTGTTTTGAATCAAATGAATTATCTAGAACAGTTGGTCTCTCTTGCTTCGTGTCCGATTCTGTATTAGGGAGAGCAGCCGCTGAATTGCTAGATTGTTCTGCGCTGGTTTCGTGCCCATAAAATCCATCTATTGCCGTTGCCGATTCCTCAGCGATGGGTTTAGGGTTCTTTTTTATACAAAGATTTTGATCCGCAATCGAGCCAGTATCAGTATCCTCCAACGGTACTGAGCTAATTACAGAATCCTGAAACCCTGACATGCTCTCAATGTTTTTCTCGGTTGTAGAAGTTGATATATTCCCTTGTGCAGTTGATTCGCAGTTTCGTATATCCTGACAACTCGAATCTGATGATGTGTTGTCCGATGAACTACTACTGGTACTCACAACTGAACTTTCACTATCTGAGCTACTATCGCTTGATATGTTTGAATCAACAATAGCGTGGGCTCGAATGGCTGTTTGGGACACCATTTCTTCATCGCCAAGGGCTCCATCAACATCGTTCATTCGCCTTCGAGGAGATGTATTACTGTTGTGACTTATTCCCGGTGGTGCTAATCGCCTTTTCTTATTCGTAAGATTCATTTGTTCGTTCTGGCGAGATGGTCTTTTATACGAATCATCTCTGAAAGGAAATGGATGTACACAATTCCGATTTGTAGCATTTATCGCAAGGCGCTTCACACTTTCAGCTTTCCCGTCGGGTAACGTTGACATTCGTTTTATATTCCCAACGCAAATCATTTGATACTTGGCTCGGGTTAATGCAACATTTAATCGTCTATCATCTGCGAGAAATCCGACGGAATTCCTTCCCACCTTGCCGTCACTTCTCACGAAGGAGACGATGACAAAATCTGCCTCACAACCTTGACTTGAGTCTACAGTTGCAACAAGAACATTTCCGAGTTTGCGCCGATTCAGTAGGCGTCTAATCAAATTCACTTGAGCCTGGTAAAAGGTAATTATTCGTAAGCAGTTTGCCGAACACCAATTACGAGAACGATTGCAAGAGATTCGTCTTAAATCATCAACAATTTCCACCACAGCATTCGCTTCTGCTTCATTTTCGATAGAGCCCGATCGTAGCTGACGTTCTCTCCCATCGATCTGATACAAAGTATAGGTAGCGCAGTCCATCATACTAACCGAACCTCTATATTTTGATCGAATCACATTTCCACCATTTCTTAATTTCCCCCCGTAAAAGTTCTGCGAAGGGAACTCACTCAGCGCCGGCTTCATTCGATATTGTGTGTCTAGCATAATGTGACCATAATTGCAATCGTACATGAGTCTCTCATGAAGGCTCTTACTAAGCCCCATCTTTTCTGCGAACTGACTGGTAATTGTTGCTGGAAGCTGCTTTGGATCACCAACGCATAGAAGCCTTCGAGGGAGATACTGAAAAGGGATATAAATTTCAGGTTCAGTAGCTGCAGCAGCTTCATCGACAACAAGATCGTCGACTTCTCCAATCACCTTTTTCAATAGTGAGCTCCCACTACTTCCCAGCGTGCAAAATATAACATCTGCTCCCTGCAATATTTCTTGCCATATAGTATCACGATTCCATGCACCGACCATCCCGACAACTAAATCAACTTTGTTAATTATCTCCGTCGGGTATTGTTTTTGACGTGATTTCGTAAACTTTTCAATCAACTTCACTATACTCGTTGCACCCATTATAACCTCTGCATCCGTCACTTTTCGCTTCAGTAGATTTTCCAACCGACGGGCTACCATGAGAATCCTATTGAATAGGCCAAAATTCCCCTTATCTAGAATTTTTCGAATATATAAATAATCATTTTCAACTGTATCAATGAAAGTGTACAAGAGACTCTCTCTCATCCTCGGATTATCTGTAAAAGCGTTTCCCCTTTTCCTTCCGTCGTTTTCAAGAAGTTTATCCTCGTCTCCAATCAAAACGACATTGCATGGGCATGAGTCAACGTCCAAGAATGTGTTCAGAAATCGACTGCATAAAACAGTGACCGCCTTGTTGGTCGGGGCACACACCATCAAACATCTTTTATTGTGCTCGAGTTTTCTTGAATCTATTATGTAGCGACAAATTACTGAAGTCAATAGCGTGGTCTTTCCGGTTCCAGGAGGACTTCAAGCAGAAAGAGTAGTCGTAAATGAAATGAGGTGAGAATGAAATCGAGAAAATGAAGTTGAACACTTTCATCATTTCATGAGCTGAACCTACCCTTGTACGAGACAGATGGTATCACTTTTTGATTTGAGAAATGTTTTTGCTGCTAATTCTTGCATATTGTTCAATCTCGGAATTTGGAAAGTAGCTTCTAAATCCACGACTTCCAACATTTCACAATCACTTTCAGAATCTGCATTGGTTTCAATAAAATGATCCTCGACGTTTGATTTGTGGTTACGTTTGGGTCTATATTCAAGACTTCGAAGATCTGTCGGCTTCTTTATACCAAGAAGGGGAAGAAGAAATGGCACGGGCTTAACCATTTGGCTCATGCATGCTTCGAACTTTCGTTGCTCCGATAAGAGCGAAATAATTGGGGTCAACTTCCATTTCCCTTTGATTGTCTTTTTGATCTTCCGAAACATCATTATAACAAAAGAATTTGAAGCCACCATTTCATCACGACTTTGAGGAAGAATCACTCCCAGAAGAACGTTCTCGATGGAGTTAGTTGCCTTACCATCCAAGCACGAAAAAATAGTACCTTGGCGAAGGTGTAAAATTTCATCTTTTGTAAATGGGGTAGATTCTTTCACAAATGTTAAAAGTGAATGGCCAGAAACCCCTTTGTGCTCTACCCTTCTGATGGACAGTTCCATAGAACAAATTGATTGTTGATTGATTGCATGCCTGTTCTGGCCATGTCGTACCAAGTTATTGGGATATCGATTGTGGTTACCGGTGTTTCGTTTTGTGTTGTTCTGGATGTCCTCATTCACTAATCTTATGGAATCCGCCAGTGATTGTCTTGCTTCTTCAATCACAAGAGCAGCTCGACTCAGAAAGTGTTGTTTCTGGCTGCTGTATGATGACGCCAATGGAGTGGACAAGGTTGGTAGTGCCAATCGATCGCAGATTACTTTCCATACCTCTTTGCTCTGACCTAAAAATTCAGAAGCCTCTGATCGCAATAGACCAGCATAAAATCTGTCGAATGCCGAAAGCCCAACGGGTATCGTCTCTTTTGATTTCTGTTTTTCATCTGGCCTCAATATCCGCCTTCCTTTCTTCTTTTTCGACCTGGCATCCCCAGGATTTATTCCTCTATCATTCGTCTTCATTGTAAACAAAAGCGGAACCTTATTTCTCTTTATCTATATCGTTCCATGTTTTTCGGACACAATCGCGACCGTGAGACAAAAACGCGAATTAAATGAAGCAGCCACTATTCAGTTTGTGTTATAGAGACTGTAATATCAGCACCTCGCTTTTTAGCATTGAGTAAACGGTGAGGATTGAGTTTTCTGATGAGAGAGATGACAGACTTTCTTATTTGTACCGGTTTGTTCCGTGTTATTCTGCACTCAAACGATTAGGTTTCTTGAGTGGTTAGGATCGTGGGTGTAAAATCGCGCCAAAAAAACTTCCTCTGGGACGTTACGAAACGACGAATTACCAGATACAGTAAGCCACTGGACCCACGACTACTCCGACTACATCAAGAAGCTGTACGTGCTTTTGTACGGTGCCGTACATTACCTATGGTACATATACATACTGATACATACAGCGAGGAACACGCACCATCAGAATCGCCTTTTCCAATACCATTGAAATAAGGAATGAGGTACTGAAGTAGCTTAAAAGTAGAAATAAAGTACAGTAGCTTTTTGGTAGTAGCTTTAAAGTTGCTTTAATACATAGAACTTGGCAGGTAAAAAAAAAAAATCTTAATATTATATTTAACCTCGTGAACTAGAAGAGGCACTATATGGCCAGAACCAAAGCTTTCGTTAGAAAGAATGCTTCTAGCTGCTCCGAG